GGGCGCCATGGCGCCCGCGGGCACCGTGTTGGGGACCACGGGTTTTGGTGGTTATTCTATAATTCTAGAAGCCTTTACTTTTAATCTTTGTATTTCTGTTGACATTTAAGAAGGGAAGTAAGACTAACAGATGTTTGTAGCAGTGTTGAATATAGGTGTTCTGTAGCATAACAGGATGCTTTGAGTTTTCATAGCAACATGTCTTAATTGTGGGTGTTATGAATAGTCTTTTTGGTACACTCCGCACATTTTAGAAAAGTTATTTTGCGAAGCTTTACATACAAATAAGATGTGTGGTACACTATTCACATTTGAACACACATTTTTATCATTACATTTATATAGATGAAAGTTATATGTGATGTTTGTAAAACAGTGTATGAAAATTCTTTAAAATTATGTAGTAACTTGTTTTTTTCTGGTAAACAGTTACATGACTTATCCAAATCTGATGTAAAAAACAGAATTATTCAACTTCTTTAATTCTTTCATGAACATCTACACAGGTGATTATATTGCACTGGTGGTAATCTCATTAAACTAAAAATAGTCTCCTGAAGTTACACAAGCTGAAATGATTTTTGTTCCACTGAGAAGTACTGTTTTTATAGCTCTTAAAGTTAAGACATATCTAGCAAACAGCAGCTATTGTTAGAAATTCAGGAAGTTGACCCCCTCCCCTCCCCCTTTTTTTTGCCACATGATTTAATAACTTTCAAGGGAACACAGTTAATTGAAAAGATTCATTTAGAAGCCTCAATATATACCCTAATATACAATAAATGGGCTTTACATATAAAATGTTACTATTATGTAACATACAAATTGTTGTAGCCTTGTGGTTCATGTTCAAGCATGTAAATGCAGCCAAGACCAGGTAGAAAACTCATTTTCATGCTCTAAACATGATGGGTATTTTTCAATCAAGAACAACAAATCTCCAGAAGCGGAAACATATGCACACTTCAACTAGTCAAACAATACAATGTAATGTTTGAATGCAAACAAAGCTTTCCTATCTTCTATATTTTAACAAACAGTTGATTATTCAAATATTTTCCTATTCCTAATCTTCAGTTTTATCTATACAGGCAGTCCCCGGGTTACGTACAAGATAGGGACTGTAGGTTTGTTCTTAAGTTGAATTTGTATGTAAGTCGGAACTGGTACATATTGTAGGGGAAACTCTAGCCAAACATTTCTCCAGAGCTCAGTTTTATTCTCCCACACCTCACTTCCCTCAGTCCTTTATTCTCAAGCTGAGGTGTCTGCTGAGAAAAGCCGCTCCGCGTCTCCCTGGTCTGCTCGGGGGGGCGCTAGCTTCGCGTCTCCCTGGGAAGCAGACTAGTGCGGGGTTGCCTCACCCCGTTTGTAAGTAGGGATCCGATGTAAGTTGGATCCATGTAACCCGGGGACTGCCTGTACATCCTAGCTGATAGCAAATGTATTAACTTTTACAGTTTATTTGAAACCATTAGATATTTTTAAAAAATAAATACTGATAGCAAATGTATTAAAAACTTTTAGTTTATTTGAAACCATTAGATATTTTTAAAAAATAAATATGCAACCTCTTACCTGAGCATGGAAATTTGACATAGTCGTTGTCTCTATATCTTTCTTTCCCAAAATCTCCATTTTCACTGGTGAATTGGGAAAATTAAATGAAAAGTAGTCTAAAAAGTCAGGTAAATAAGTAGCTGCCCCATGAACAATACCCATTACATAATAAGCTGCAGAGTTTTCATTTTCACTAAAAACCAGACCCACAAACTCTTCCGCAAATCTCTCCATCTCCACAGGAGACAAGTGAGAGAGTTCATTACTGTAGGCATGGATAACTGATGCACCTCCATTCGGCTGGTGCTCAATGTGAATGAGCTGTTTGAACTCCAACGTGTCCAACCTTTTGAGTTTATTCTGAACCCGTGGTTCCTTTAACGAGAGAAATGGAAACTCGCTGTTCTCTGATATCTTGGACCCACAGTCCTTCTTAGAATCCATATTCTTCCCACTGAAATCCTTAAAATGATCATCAATTATGCCTTTGGCTTCTTGATCCTCAACATCAGAAACCAATCCTGAGCAGATGGTCTGAATAGATTTGCTGTACATTTTTGGACGCTTCCTTTTCTCACATTCTTTATGTTTCTTTTTCTTTTTCTTCTTTACCTTTTTAATTTGTAATTCTTCTGCATTAGTTTTTGGCTTTTCCTTCCCACCTGTAGAGAGGAAAGAGATTTCTAAAACACCTATATTTCCTGCTATATGAAAGCCCCAATTTAAGTAACAGAATTAAAAGTTACCCATACAGAGCATGCTGAATGGGACTTAACACTATAAATTAAGTATCAAACAACTTTAGAGATATTTATTTAAGCCAAATACCAATTAAAGCAATGTTATACAGTCATATTAGGTCTGATCATTTATTCTAACAGGTTACTGACCATACCACCCATCATCACCAGAACCTCAAAATTTAACATTAGCTATAATTCTGTAAGACATATTTTACTTTCATATTATGCATTATGAAACAAGAACTTTACACAGAAGTGTATTTATAATTAGAAACATGGCCCAATTGTTTTAGAAACACAGGATTTTTATAATTAGAAACATGGCCCAATCCTGTGAAAAACACAGGATTTTTCACTTTTAAAATATTTTTAATTAGATATGTGCATAAGGCTGACAGGCAGAATTGAACCTGGGATCTCTAGAGCTTATTGCTTGAGCCTCTACTGCATGAGCTAAAAGCCAGGTGGATATTAACTAAGGTTGTACAGTAGGCTCACACTCTCTATAAGTGGTCTCAATACCACTAAAAGGGACAGTACCACACCCAGGGGTGCGGGTTACACATGCACTCTGAAAAAGGTAAAAACCCTACTTTAAATGTTGTTTTTCCTCCACTCATACTATTGAATAAGATGTACATGGGTGTGGGAGACAGCAAAGAAAGGCGCACACACAAAAACAGGTTGACCTTGAAAAGTATTGTAATAATCACAATCTTACCGCAAAAACAGGTTGACCTTGAAAAGAAAGTATTGTAATAATCACAATCTTACCTCTTCTGTTTAATCAGTGGTGCAACCTCATCAGCAATTATGCCAGTAGGTTAAATGATTTAAATGTAGACTGCAATGTTGCTGTAGCCATGTTGGTCTCAGGGTCTGAGAGATAAGGTGAGTGAAGTAGTATCTTTTATTTGACCATGGGGGAATTCTGCACAGAATTTCCTTCTTCCCCACAGAATTGGTACTGTACAGCTGCTGCCTGGCCCGAGGGACCATTGGCCCCCAAAGAACTCAGCTCTCCATCTCAAAGACAGAAGACAGCCAGGGGAAGGAGAATGACAAGTTGGACAGTTACTGGCACACCCCAAAGAAAAGGAACAATGTGTAGGAAAACTTCATACAAGCCAGGCCCCCAGCATCAGGCTGTTTCTCTCTAGATCCCTGGACTCTGGCGAGAACCCTGAAGTGGGGGCTCTATAGGAAAGTGGGTCTCTGGACTAGGGACCGGGACCATGCATGGGCAGACACCTCTAGGCTGGGCTCTGGAGGGGAAGGGCTTGTAGGTGTCTAGCTGAGGACACCCTGCAAGTAGGCTCTGATGGCAAACTGGTGCAGGTATCTGGGCTGGAGGACACCCTGCTGCTAGGTTCTAGAGCAGGGGTGGGGAACCTCAGGCTAAGGGGCCAAATGCAGCCCCCAACTTGCCTGGATCTGGCCCCCTGAGGTTCATGCCCCCCCTCCAGCATTGGGGAGCCCATGCTGCTGCACCCTCCACAGGGCTGGAACACAATCTACTAGGCTGGACCCCCTAGACTCTGGTATGGGGGATTTAAATATTCAGGGCTTTCTTTGCATCTTCCCGTCCGGGCGCCATTTTTAAATCCCCTTAGTCCGAACTAACTGCCCGCGGCTACAAGCGGCAGTCAAACGTTACCTCGAACTAAGTCCTTAGTTCGAGTTAACGGTTACACCACTAGGAAGGTATGTAGGAATTTTAAACTGGGACAAAGAAATTTGGGTTTTTCCCTCCTTGGTCTCTGTGAGTTTCTCTGCAGCTACAGAGAGACACAAACATGTCTCTCTCCAAGAAACAATTCTTTACTTTCTGTAGGTAGGGTAAAGTTTAGATAAATCCGTTAGGTTTTCTTGTTTTATGGTTTGGGTATGGGATCTGATGTCCATGCACTTTTAAAAAGATGTTTTGGCTTTTCTTTGTAACTAAGTTCTAAGCCCATGGAGTTCCTCCATGAGTATATTTGGTTACCTTTCCATCTAGTCATTATGCTTGCAACAGGAATATTGCTGTAATAATAAAAGTTCTCTTTTCTTTTTATTAACCTGGGATTGGTTAATAGTGTGCCCTGATTTTTACTTAGGGGTGTAATTTCCCAAATGATCTTTCCCCTGATTTCTTTAACAACATTTGGGTTGTGGCAGCAGAAGTTTTATTCCCAAAATCTAGGTTTTTAAGATTTTTATGCCAAAGCCGGGTAGATCAGATTTTAGGGTAATTGCTGACGCCCACTTCTGCATTTATCATGCCAGAGTGGGGAAGGAGCCATGACAGAGTCCATTCAAGAAAGTTGTGATTGTCTAGTTTCATCCAGAGTTTTTGGGGGCATGTAGTGCTCTGAATGACATCCAGCAAATGGTGCAATAGACATGTATAGTTAAGATTACAATATGTCCAGGTTTTCCCCAGTATTGCCTTTCTTTTGAGGCTCCCTCCCTGGCCAAGTAAATTTTTCAAACAGGAGAAGTCCATGATTTTTGCAGAGCGGACACTATACCTCAGGGTGCTGACTGGGCCACTCCCTCAGTGGTCCCTCCCCTGCATTAACAGCTGATTGGTCCATTCCACAGCTGGCAGATCCCATCCACCTCCCAAGTCTCACAAGGCGGTGTTGACTGACAGCTGTTGCTGTGTCTTGGGCTTGCATCAGCCTTCCTCCCATTCTGACAGGGAGTGACGCTACCCATCATCTCCATTGAGTACCCCTGACAGGGGAACCCCTTTCCCCTTCTGAGTCTGCCAATGCCTCACTTCCAGCAGTGTCCTCTTTATGAATTTGCATTATAACAATACTAGGTGTAGGAGCCACGAATCTTGAAAGATTTGGGGGGGGCGGGGGGGAGGAGAGGAGAAGAGGGAGAGGAGAGAGAATTACTGAGATAAAAGTCTTCAGGTTTTGCACCTGTGATTATGGCAGATTCTGCGCGTTGATGTGTCTTGGTCTGTGGGGAGCTTGCTTCTGGATATGAGCTTGGCAACACTATTGTTTGTAGGCCAGGAAAGGGGGTCCATGAAAGGCTTCTTTCAATGTGTGGGCCCTACTAAGTATGGATTGTAATTGTTTAATGATACTCCATATGGGTGGCAGTTATGTGTATTTACTACTTATGTTATTCCATCTATTCCACTTTTAAGTACCTTTCCTAGATCTGAAGAAGAGTTCACTTAGTGCTATGTCTACACTTAAAATGCTACAACAACATAGCTGCAGCACTGCTACTGTAGCGCACCAGCATAGACACCCCAGTACACTGATGGGAAGCGCTCTCCTGTCACTGAAGTTAATCCACCTGCTTGAGAAGCAGTAGCCAAGTAATACTCTCTGCTGCAGGCAGTTAGACCAATATAGCTACATCCAGGTCTACACTACTCTTAAGCTGCTTTATGTTGACGTATGTCTACCTAAGTGTCAACACTACAATGCTGTTCCTGTTCATATAAGTGCCTAATCACACTGACCTAATAACTCCACCTCCACAAGAGGCATGGCACTTAGGTCAATGTAGCTAGAGTGACAGTGTCTGTGTAGGAACTATTACTTACACTGCTCTCAGCTGGGAGCCCCATTGCACCACACCTACAGCTAGGAGCCCTGTACCCAGCTGTGATGTTTTGGCAAAGAGCCAATAGCCCGAGCTGTCAGCCTGCCACACTGACCTATTTGAGTTGGTTCAAGTGCTCATTGTGAGAATGCACATCACCAGCAGAATGAAGATAGGTGGAGATGAAAAACAGGAGCAATTGCTGCAATGCCTATGACTCAACTGTGTTCTGTAAACAAGGCCTTCCCCCCCCCAAATAGTACAGGTATGCCATTATAAACTTTTGGTGCAGGCCAGCCATCTCTCAACAGCTCATCTCTTTCACAAACAAAAATGCTTCCATTTAAAAAAATATTACCTCACCCACCTTCCCTCTTTAAATGCTGTCAGTGAGGCCACTGCACAAAAGATCCACAAATGCGACTGCGCATCCAAACAACTAACTGTCTGTGCTCATGGAGCTGCTAGAGTCCTCTCCTTTCTTGTCCTGTAAATTATGAAGTGGTCCTTCCATCACCACAAAGTTGGTAAGTGCTTTTCATAGAGAGCTAGTTTTTTCAAGTGCCTTAAAATACACATGCAGACTGAAGTTGGCCTGAAAAATGCTAAATCAATAAAGAGTCCAAAGTAGAGTTAGTGGTGCAGATATGGAATCATCTGGTGAAGGTGCTCCCAATAATAATTCTCCTCAGATAATCTTATTTTAAAATCTGCTGTTACTCACAGCACTGCTCCAGTTTTTCCCCCCTTTGAATGGTAGTCAGAGGGCACCATCTATAAATGGTACAAACAAACAATCCAGCTTCAGAATTTAATAACTCAAGTTATTAGGCTTTCCTATTGAGTTTATACAATGGTGCATATAACTGATTTGAGCTAAAAATAGTTGCATGCTACAGTCTCCCTGTGACACAGTCAGAGACTTGGAGCAAGTAAGACATAGTAAGAGACGTGCAGTATATAACCGTTAAGTGCCCTAAAAATACTCATTCTGAAAACTGGCAGTAAGAGACGTGCAGTATATAACTGCCCTAAAAATACTCATTCTGAAAACTGGCATACCACAGCAAGGGTTGGGTGTAGACAGTGTAGTACAAATTTGTGGCCCTTGAGCCAAAAAGTTAAGACATTTCTCCAAAAGTGACATTTTTTAAAACGATGGCTTCACATGAACAGTGCTATTCATCAAGCTGAGAACGATCCAGTTTTGGGTATAACAGGCATATGATGCAGGGAGGTGTAAACACAAGTTTGTTAACGAGGTAGGTCACACCTCTGCTAGTCTACTGAGGTATGTAGCAGCCACTGCAATGTTCTTAATATTTCTAAAGTGGGCGGGGGGAGGACTATTTCCCCTGCTT